ACTTGATTTGTTCTCATTATGGTTTAAATTTTCATATCTATCATATATTAATATTTGTTGTAGATGGTTTAAATTCCGATTTACATATTTATGGTATGTCCCTTTAAGATTGTAATGGAATCTAGATAAGTGTAAGTAAGCATCATTGTTGTATATCTGCTGGTAGCCATACTCAATCAAGTCAATTTTAAAGCATAGGTTGAGAACTACCGAGATTCCCCAAGCTAAGCTAGATTCACCACAATACTCATCAAAGTTCACCTTCATTCTATTTGCCATATATATTTGTTTTTACCGAAGCAAATTCTTATAAACATTTTACGGATACTTTAGTCCTATCACCGACTTAACTTAATGATGATAAAATTACATCACATAGATACTTCAACTCATCGATCCAATAACTAACTTAACATCCAACATGTGTATGTAATTAAAATAAAATCAAGTTTGCATAGAACACATACTAACATCCAAAATAACAAGTCTCGGCTAGATTAAATATACATATAAAATTTGATCACATACTATCATCCAAAATAACAAAAAGAAGATTTCATCATATCTCCCATGTTATAGTTTATACAAGCTTTAAGAAGTACTTTCTTGAATACAACTTAAGACTCTTAAGTTCCAAGTTGGTTAGCAGCATTATTAGCCTTCTTTTTAATGTTCAGTCGACTTTGCAATAGTTAAATTTCTTCTTCTTCAATTGCAATACTTGTATTTTTTTTAACACATCTCTTTTTGCTAACGAGTTGATTTGTCATGATCAAATGATTTGAATATATTACTATTCTCTCGTTACTTGGAGTCCGAAAATTTGAAAAGCAATAGGATAAAACCATTAACTTGCCAACCTTTTACAATAAAAATTCATAACACTTGTAGTTAAAACTCACACTTTGAACAACTTCACTATAATAAACTCTATATCCTTTTCTATCCTTAACTTTGCCCTTTGTAGTTCTTTTGCTAGCACCCTTAACAACACCTTAACCTTGAGTTTTACCAAAACCATAAGCTACACTTGAACTTTGAGTTGCATTTATCTAATAAAAATTAAAAATGAAAATTATGTTAAAATTAAGTCACTAAATAAGCATATAAACAAATAATTAAAAATGAAAATAATGAGTTAACTTACAATTGGTCTCTAATGCTTTTTTATATGTTTTGAAACTAATGGCCTTCTAGTCTTTCTAATTGGGTAAGAAATTTTATTATGTCCTTGTTTGTAACACCAATGAACAATCATCTTTCTTCCTCTTCTTGATAGTTTGCCTCGATTTGACTCTCTTTTTTATTTTATTCTATTAATTTTTCTTCTTTTAGGACCTACTTTGAAAGGTGGTGGTTAAGGAAAAAGCTTTCTAGTCTTATTTCAAAACTCTTCACCATTTACAAGTTTCATAAAACCTAGTGAACTTGAAGATATTTATTCTTGTGATACCGATTATCAATATAATCCTCAAGATCTAGGTTTATGCTCATAAAAGATGTCATAACTTAGGAATAAGGAATCTCATATAATTACCATAGTTTGTACATGTATGTCTTTTCGGTTATATTGATAGTGAATTTATTAGCATTATGAATGACTTCAAAGCCTTCATCCCTATTCCAATACGAATCCATATTTTTCAACCAAGTCTTGCTACTCTTTAAATTTCTTTCTAATCCTAGTATCGTGATTCCCATTCCACTTTAATGTTAAATCCCTATTAGTATGTAATCTATTCATAACCATCATCATGATATTCTTTAACATTAAATAAATAAACTTGCATTTAGCCTTAATAATTCTACCATTAAAAGCTTATGTTAAATTATTATCAAGGATATCATAAGTGGTACACCTATGTTTAGCATCACTCTTTATCATCGACTCATAATTTATTGTAGTTTTCTCTTTTAATAGATCCGTAAACTTCATAAAGTCGGGCATATGAGTGACTTTAGCTCACATTCGGTATTGCTTTTATAAATCCTTTTTTGGATTATTTTTTTCTCTAGTTGGCATACAAATGCCAACACAATTTTATGTTCTGTCATTGGCATTATTTCTATTATAGCTCCCACAAATCCCTAATAGTTAGCACTAATTGTTCATATTATTAAAGATTAAAATAAAATAAAAAACTTAAGTTAAACCAAATCAAACTAAAAAATAATAAGTCCGAATGCGTCACTTTTTGTTCATCTATTGTCTATCCATCACCATCATTAATACAAAGATAAGCTTTTAAATTCTTCAAAAAACCATGACCAAGTTGTCTAAGATTCCGTATCAACCACTACCTAAGCAATTGGGAAGATTTAATTGTTTTTACCTAACCAATTGCGGATAAAAGCTTTCATTTACACACTATCCTAAAAAAGCATCCATCAAGTCTTATTACTTTTCTATAGCTAGCAAGAAACCCTTTCTTATAACACTTAAAGAAAATGCAAATTGTCTCAAAAATTAGTAACAACTATAGGTATGGTCTAGGACTTTGACGATGTAATAAGACTCGTGCTTACAGGATTAAACCTTCTTAGCTTAAACTTATAGTCTTTAAGTTTAGCATACTCGTTTAAGTTTTATCCTTAATCTGTTCCATCACCCTCTCTTTAGCTCTACCATATTTTGACAAAACAACTTTCGGACTACGCTTATCATCTACAACATCTTTTAATTCACAAAGTTTATTAATGGTAAAGCCCTCATTTTATTAAACATATAATTGGTCAACCAAGTACTTTTAAGTTTGTTGTTGTATAAAAAGGAAATGCATTGATGCTTTTCAAGGTAAGTCTTTACCATGAAATCATATGAGTTTCTCTCATATGATGCACATATTTTCTAACTATATTTTGGAGCCTTACATGTTGCCTCACTATAAAATTAGTATTTTTTTTGTATATAAAGTCATGCTTCTAAAGAATTGAATGATTTATCAAAGCCTCTTTAAACTAATTTAGATCACCAAACACCATGTCAAGGTCGAAATAAGGTTTATCTCGCTTTTATATCATAAACTAATGTTTTGCTCCTTCTCCTAATTACAATATCATCCTATTCGCCATCCGTATTTTCATGACTATAATTATCATCTTCTTAATGTAATTAGTCATATATCCTACATCAATATCTAGGACCCCATAATCCTTGTTGGTATTAACTCTCTTAACAATCTCTTGGTACTTCTTTCTAATACCTAACCTTAAAATCTCTTATGTAAAACTTCTTCAAATTCATTATTGTTTTTTTCACTTCTTCATCATATCATCAAATATAGAATCAACATCAATATCAACTAAATCAGCTTCATCTACTTTAGAATCTAACTCATTAAGCTTTGCACTATCTTCTTCACCACTTTTATCAATATCTTTAATGTTCATCCCATCATCATTATCGACATCAACTTCATTATTGACCCCAACTTTATCATTATCATTATTTCGAGTTTCATTGTTGACCCCAACTTCACCATTAACTTCATAATCATTTTCAACTTCATTATTGACCCTAACATCACCATCGTATATCCTACCAACAAAACTATAAACTCCATTCTTACCCACATGCTCTTCAAGTTTCACATAACATTGCTTAATGTAATCTCCCACCTCAATAAAAGCATATACAAAATTATGTCTCTCTAAAAACTTAATTAACCGTATTACAATCAAGTCACAATCTAAAGAAAAAGCCCTTTCTTTATTCTACCAACAATGTTTGAGAAATATATGTCGAAATATGCTCAATTCCCCACCCCCTCTTTTTGTTTTCTTTTAGCAAAATCGACAAGGTCCCACGTATATAAGTTGTCAATACTTTTAACAAAGTAAATAGATTTTTAACCTCTCAAATATTAGAATTTGAAATTATTGACAAACTATCCACCATAATGCAACACAACTTTGGGTCTTTGTTCAAACTTGTCTCACATCACTACAACATCAATGAATAAAGAAAATAAAAAAATTGCAGAAAAAAGATAAATTAAAGCCCATAACAAAATCCTAACGTAAAACAAACTATTACAATATAAAAAAACACAAAAAATACATATTCTCGATATCTCTATCTCATTGAATTTTGAATCTTCCTACTCGTCCTTCTTAGATGTTGTCTTTCGTGTTTTTAGATTTTGAATTTAGTGTTCAATATGACATCAACAAGCTACGTAAATAGAGAAGGTAAAGTAACGAGTATTAGGCTAGGTTAGTTGTTTAAGGCGATTTAACTTTAAATTGATGAAGAAAAATAGCACGTGTGTGTGCCAACTTCCTGGCGTGGCTTTTTTTATACAAATAAATAGTTAAATAATAATAATAATAATAACTTGAGAGGAGGAAAAAAAAAAAAGGTAACGTAGTTATTTAGTCTTCTAAGTTAAACCATGTATGTCATCACTAAACATAAAAATTGATGAAAAAATTGATATACTAAAATGAAAAAAATAAAATCTGATGTATTTGATTGAAAATATGCTCAAAGTTGGTGCACTAATAATATATTTAGTCCATACACACACGAAGCAATGAACCAGATATGTTTATATAATTCGTGCTGATGTGCATGGGTGACTAATAATTCTTGTGTCGATTAAATTAAGAACATTTATTAGTTATATATGCTAGCTAGGTTTCTCTACAATATACATATCTCACACATATAACCTTTTTTTCCAATAAAATTAAAGATTTGGAGCATTAATTCTGCTGATGATAATTCTCAAGTGCAGAACGCCCTGAACTATCACTAATGTGAGGTAATTAATCAAATTACAAAGACAATATATAGTACGTAAAATAGTTAGTGCAATAAATGGACAAATAATTAAATGAATGAAGCAATTATTTTATTAATTAATTAATTAAAAATAACATAGATAGATATATAAATGACCAATTAAGTTTGACTGGTTTGGTACGTTATTGAACTGAAGCCATAAGAGAAGTGACTAAGCAATAATATTGATCAGAGACGACAGGACAGAAGTAGTTCACAAGCGTTCGTTGTGTGGAAAAGAAGCAGCTCCATGATTAGCAGTGGTGTAACTTGCAGCAGAGGCAGCGGTGGTGTCAGCTGGAGCCCCAGTGCCGCGGCGGTAGTAGCAGTCGTCATTCTGGGAAGCATATCCAGCTCCGTGGTTGTTGGCATTGTAATCTTGAGATCCATAGTTGTTGACGTTGCCATCCATATTAATATTATTATTTTGAAATGCATTATTATCAATATTACCATCATCCAATTCATGTTTTGCAATCTCCCTCTCAATCTTTTTTTCAGCCTTGGCCACATGCAGCTCCATTTGTCCTTCAGCCTCTTTTGCCAATCGAACCTCGTGAGCAACATCCATCCTCGTTTTTGCCATTTCCTTCTCCGCCTACATATTTATATTATTAATTAACCATGCATATACATATATATTAATTAGCTAACACATTCATTATACATAGTAGTTAATTGTTAAGTATTTATTACCTTCTCCTCGGCCTTTGCTTCAGCCTTGACCTTGCGCATGGTGCTCATGTCATTTAGCTTATCCTTGATAGCCTGCATTTTCTCTCTACTAATCTGATGACCCAAAGACTACTAAGTAATTTAATTATTATTTTTTTAATTTTAATATTCCTGTCTTGGCATAAATATTGCGTTGATATATATACAGCCAGAAACTCCATGAATTAGGTTGACAAGTGTCATATGCGTAGCCTTGTATTGTATTACGTACTACCTATTTGCGGTTCTGGGAATGACACGGTCATGGACGATTCTGTGCTCGGTCAGTCATCTAAACCGGCACCGGAGGTAACGCCAGCTTCCAAATCGTAACGGTCTTCCAATCCAAGTCCGAGTCTCCCGTTGAATTTATCAAGTGAACCGCCAGATGGATGCATGCGGGCTGAGGCTAACACCTCTTTTAACATTATTTTCTTCTTCTTTTTTTTAACACTTGTCCAGTAAAAAAACTCACCTCAAAATTTTTAACTGCTTCAGATATTCAAACAAAAAAATAAAAAACATAAGATAACTTGTATTTTTATATTTTTTAAAAGTTTTAAAATTACAACTAATTTTATATTATTTTAAAAATAAAATACTCATCTTTTTTTTTTTTAGTTTTAAAATTATTTGAAAAACCATCAAGTTAAAACCAAGAGTTAAGATTTTTGTTTTCTTTTCTTTTCTTTTCCTAAATACAAACACTGAGTATTTTATCTTTATAACAAATGAATAATTATGCATTATGCTGGTACTTTATGCAAAAGAATAAAAAATATATATTTTAACTTTTTAAATAATATAAGATTAATTATAATTTAAATTTTTAAAAAAAACATAAAACATCAATTATGTCCTAATTGTTAATTTTTTACTTAGATGTTTGAAGTAGTTAAAAAAATTTGATGTAGATATTTTTATTAAGCAACTGTTTAAAAAAAAAAAAAAACTTTAAAAGCGTCTTGCTAGTATTTCTCTTATTAATATTATAATTTATAATGAATATAATAATATTAGGATCTAGCTGGAATATGTACTAATTAGACGGTTTTGATCCCCATAAGTGTAACAGTAGGCCATCGATGGTGCTTATAGAACTTGCCAAGTCCCATCCTTCGCAGTGATGCCTCAAAGCTACTATCAAAATCTAAGTGGCTTCTATCAACTTAGTTAATCAAGTTTAGCGTAAGTCTGCACTGACTTCTACCTAAGTTTGGTCAATCGATATTTCTTCCCAGGTTGTAGAATACTCATTCGCATAAAAATGACAGAACAAAAGCACGAGAGGCTGCAGCTGCATTAGTTGTATTATGCAATGCAAAGCTCAACTCCCGATCCAGTATGAACCACATGCAGAAAAACAGAAATGGATCTGGCACCGGCAGGTCCAAAGCTCATTGCCAACAATACCCATCAATTATTAATCGGTATTTTAATACCATAAGCAGTTAAGCGCCATTTCTCCAAACCAAGAGTTTGAACAAGGGAACCTGGGAGCGGGAGCTATACCCATGCAGGGCAGCATACTCTTGGCCATTGGGAAGTCACCTCACCTAAAGACTTAATCCGCACTGTTTGTAGAACAATCAATTAAATTTTGACTTCTTCGATCAAAGGTTTCAAAGTTGAGCAACCCAATCACTGTACAGATTGCTTAGAGGAGAGCTGGAGAAGCATTAGGATACAGGTAATTTGATGCCCTTGGCATGTAAAAAAGAAAATAGATTTGAGGCATCATCAACTCCAGAAATTACCATGAAAAATTATTAGAACCACCACTGCAATTCATCTGAGAATTGCTGGGCTTGAGAAGCATTAGGAAATGGATAATGATACACCCTCAGCATATAAAAAGAAAGAAAGAAAATATTGAGGCATAACTCTCCACAAATGACATTGACAGATTATTAACAAACATTGACACTCTTTATAATTTATGTTGCTTTGAAACAATGAGTTTGTGGAGAATTCCCCTTACACGCATCATAGAGAAATTGCACATAAATACGGAGTTCATCAGCTATACTACCACAAAGCTCTAACTACCTCGGTAAGTGGTAAATGAAAAGGGGGAAAATAGCAGAGGCACATGAAAATGTTCCCGGCTCTGTGACTCTTTGATTTCAAACATAATAGAAACATAGGGAAAGAACCCAGAAGGACAATACTTACCTGTGTTAAAACTTATTCTGTATACTCCTGGGTTCACAGCATCAACAATGCTCATCAGTTGACCACTTCGCCCATCAGCATCCGTGGTTGAAGACCCTTGAAATACCCAACCACCTATATCTGGCTCACCAAACAAAGGACGAGGTTGAGCTCCCTTCCACATTTCTAGGCATACCTCAACACCAGCACCTGGAGAGCCTTGAGAAACATCCAAGACATGGGTTGTAATCGGCGGACGGGTGCGAGTTGTAACTTGAGATGGCTTTCCAGATGAAGACTCGATACTAGTGGTTAAATGCCCGCCAATGATGCTCACACGATCTTCTAGAGTTCACCAGCAAACAATCAGTAATTCAAAGAATCATAAGCACATAAGAGATGGACAAGCAACAACATTTAAGGAGAGAAACTCAGGACTAAAAAACAATGAAAAGCCAAGAATCAGTTTGCATGATTCCAATCCAAGCCAGCAATTACAAGAATGCCTCATTTTTTTTATTTTTTCCTTAAAAAAAAAATCCCAGTTTGTTTCTACGAGAGGTCACCTACTTAATACAAACAAAACTTGGGATGGTTGTCTCAGGGAATTGTCTATACAGACAGACCATACTGTTGCATTTATTGCTATAATATAAACATATAACCAGAGTATCATAAAGAACTCAGTTAATGAGAGTGTTAAAAAATTAAGGATAACATATTGAGACTGTAAGGAAGGGAATTACAGAGAAATTGGCATTGCGCATGGAGAGATTGTTACGTAGAAAAATTACAGGAAAAAGGTCAGAAGGAAAGTATTGGGATACAGGTAGTACTAGAAGCTCAGTTACTCATGTTGTTTCCAGAAAAGAAAAACAAAAGCTCCAAATAAATAAGAACTAACAGCAAAGATAACAACAAATAAAACCTACCTTCTGCTTTCTTCACAGAAACCGTGGCATGCTCATCAGCTTTTGAAGTAGATTTTATTGTACTTGTAAACAGCTTCGCTAGACGCAGTTCTGTAACTTTCATTTGTTCCTGGGCTGCGATTTCAAACTCAACTATGGGCCTGTTCATATATCGTTTCTGCATAAAGGAAAATAAGGAATTACTTACCTTGAAATACCAGTCTCAAACTCAAAAAAAGAAAAATAAGCACGGTAGCAGAAGAGCACCACTAGCGTGGTGGTTGTATGATATCAGTGAGTAAAAAGTACAAAGACACAAGCTCCGAGAATACCCTCAGAGACAGGTCATGTACTCCGTGCTTGGGCAGCAGATAGCAGTGAACGAACTTTCAATCCATGAAAAGCTGGATTTTTCAAATGCAATCAGTCTCAAAAGAAAATGTCTTGATACACGATCAAATAAATCAGTACTAAAATATAACTAAACTTGAAAAACTCGACAAATGCTTATGTATGTGCATTGCAATACATAGAGACTTAACATACAAATAAACTTGAATTTCTTTGCACTTGTCAAGTGCACAAAAGCAAAGTTAATGAATCGAAAATATAGCATACCTTCAAATCAGTAAGTATTTCAGCAGTAGTGCGTCCAGATGCACAAATAAGAAAAATAAATCCGAACTTGTCCCTATATCGAGCATTCCAGTCGGCTAGTTCCTGCGAAACAGAAATAAGTTAATAACAAGGAGAATGAAATTAGAGAAATGGAGTTGTAAGTAGTAGAAGAAGAGAAGAGAAGAGCCGTGTGATGGTGCCTGTAAGGTGGAAGTAGTAGCAGTAGCTAAAGCAGTAGACTGCTCTCCCTTGCTCCACCTGCAGATGAGGGAGTAAAACATCACATTAATCAAAATTATTATTCCTTCTAATGGATTGAAGAAAAAAAAGAAAGAAAGAGCAGTACTCAACTGAGCAGAAGCGGTGTGATGGGAAGGGGAGTGACCAATCTGAGGATGAGCGGAGAATGCTTCCAGCCAACCATTCACATCAACCTATTATTAATTAATAATTAATTAAAATTATGAACAATCAATCTTCCTTTTTCTAGTATGAGATCGATCGAACACAATTCCTTTCACTTGCCGAATCGAATCCAATCCAATCCAATCCAATTAAAAAATAATAATAAAAATAAAAACCTAGCAAGCTATGAGGATAGGAGAGGCAGGTACACCTACCTTGTTAAACCAGATGTCTCTGGCAGCAGCGACGGCTTCATGGAGAGACGCAAAAGGAGAAGCCTTCAACATTTCTTTAGCGAATTTGGTGCTTCCACAGCATGCCAGATACTCCTCCTCTTCATATCTTCCCATCTCCTTCTGTTTCTTTACAAATTCTCGTGTATCTGCCCCTGTGTGACTCTCACTCACTCTGCACTCCTCCTTGTCCATATACTATAATTATCAAACCTGAAACTTTTAATAAACTTTACCAAAATGTCGCTTTACTTACTGTCACGTTGCATAAACGAACAAATTAAAATCTAATTAGTAAACTCTTTTGTTCTGACTACAAAAGGAATAAGCAAAAAGTTGAATGGCATACCCGGTGGGACTCGAACCCACAATCGCCTGATTAGAAGTCAGACGCCTTATCCATTAGGCCACGGGTACATCTGCTCTGAGAAGTTGCCAACTGTAAATTTTAAAAATTATTTATTTATTTAAGTTTACAAAATAATGAAATAGTATTTAAAATGGAACAGATATAATTTTTTTTTTTTTTTTAAGGATTCGTGTTGAATTTATTTAACAATTCATAATCACTTGCTTGTTGGAAAGTGAATAATATATTTTTTTATTACTTTTTATAATAATTTACTTTTTAAACTGTAATATTAAACATTAGTTTATATTCTATAAACTTGAAGGCATTACTTTAATTATATTGGTTTGAACTAACCATAGCAAGCCCTCGTCCATTAATATTGGCTTTGAAAATCATCCATGGATTATTGGCTTTATGAGGTAATTCTTAGTTTCGTGATTTTTTGTTGAATCGAAAAAGTTATATTTACAAAAAAATTTACCACAGCACATTATTATCAAACTTAAAACCAAAGTTGCAATGTATAATACGCTAGATTTTGTTTTTATAAATTTTAATAGTTTGAATGTAGTTCTGAATGTTTCACTATTTGCACATAAATACCAAATTTGGATAACAAGAGAACATGCACACTCACTTGGCAGGTGATCCTCAACTAGTATAAAACTATCATAAAAAAAACACACACAACAATATAACATTAAATTTCAATTTAATGAACCTAAAAATTAATTTAGCCTATGTATTGAAGAAAA